GACAGAAAGAAATCAAGTTTTTCTTTTTTCTTTTTTTTTTTGGCAAGGTCACCATAGCTGTGTACTGCTAATATCTTCTTTGTTAAGTCCCTTCACTAAACAAACAACTATCTGACTCACAGTTTGCCGTGGAAACTCTGATTTTTCCCCTTTTTCCCCCCAGTTTCTATAGCAGCATTACCTAGGAAGCTCACTGCTGGGTTGTGGACTGATACTAAATTTACTTGCTCCCGCTGCACAAACTAAAAATTCTGTTGTGTTCCCTGGCTGTAATGTTACCACCAGTAGCTCTATGGAATAAAGAACAGGTCTGACTGGGAAGAATTTCCCAGTCTCTGCAGTCTACACTGGAATCGTTGACATGCAACACTAGCTGCTGCTACAACCCCCAATTCCTAAACCAAGAAGTGTAAGTTAGAATAAGTTGGGGAAAGGACTTTGGTTTTTATAGCCAAGCTTTGTTACCACTTTTTTCTACTTTTACTATTTCTTTTCTTAATTAAATCTCTCTGAGGCATTTTACACTCTTAGGAGAAATTCTAACATGCTCCCAATGGAACCCATAAAGTTCATATACTCTTAGGTTTAAACCTTTTACCTTCTCCCTTTTTCTATTCCCCAAGAGAATTTGTATCCTTCAAGCCCTGAAAAATTTTATAAAGAGACCCACTCACACAATGCACAAAACTTCTTACTGAACTGAAATTACTTGAAGAGTACAGGTATTTTCAAACAACATGAAATTCAGAGCAGTAGTGACAGCACAGAAACAGGGCTGGGAAATAATAGCAGAAAGGGCACAGAAAGTAGAGGAATGTTCTCTTGGAGAGGAAGAAAACGGGATGTGAAACCTCTATCAGAGCAACTTTCTCTGATGCAATCTCTCTGAAGTCTTTCCCCTTTCAGGCTAAATGCAATATTTATTGATTACTTCAAATCAATAAAATGAAAAAAAATCCTATTTTTAAAATATATTGATCTTTCCATATTTCTCGATAATTGATAATGATTAGATCATGTTTACTTTTACAAGTGGAATTAGAAGAGGAGGGAAAAGTTAATACAAATACTTTAAAGGTACCGATTTCCTCATCAGCCTCGTGCTCACTAAACTTAGTGTACTGAGACCCCTTTTTACGATGGGAACCTTGTCAGAAACCCAGTACCTACAACAATTCCCTTATAGAGGTTTTTCAGTTTATTCTGTCAACAAAACAAACAACTCCCTCCTGTTCTCCCCAATTAACAACTCCTCCCTATCCCAGCCTGTCAAAGATATTCGGAGCAGACAGTTGCATTCATATTCTCTGACTCAGATTTCCTCCCATTCACAGAATATGAAGATTTCCATTAACCTCTGAAATCAAGTCACATTTCTTCAGTCAGTGACAGCAACTTTGTTAATTCCCTGCCACAGGGTCAGAATTTGCTCCTTCACAGACTTAAAATTCCAGTATTATATCTTTCCATCTCTCTATCTAATATGTAATTTATTACTTTCAACTTTTTCCTTCTCTTCATAAAATAATTTTTATTTTTATTACATCAATGGCTCACATGTCTTTCTTGTACATCAGAGGAAACAGTGTGAGAGACATACCATCTGGCAGGATGCCCTCATTTGCCAATGGTTTTGACTTTACCTTCATGATGGCTCCTTGGTCAGTTTCTGTCTGTCATGTAGAATATTAATTAGAAACAGAAATGGCGATTTTGCAGTCCTATCAGCATTTCTGGTGGCAACTATAACTAGGCAAAAGCAAATTCTCTGGGATGTGGAAGTTAATACAGAAAAGTAAAAATGCCGTATTCCACTCTCCCTTGAAAAAGCCTTAGGTTTGCATGAGAGAGACACAACACCAATATTTCATGTGACCATACATATGCATGTGTATCTACCTGCATATAAATATTTACAGATGCACACATGTGTTTGTGTGTGAATATATTCACATCTTTTATATGTCAGTGTACATTTGTGGTGTCTGCACACACATTCCCTTCCTGCTGTACTGCAGACAGACGTTGTCAGTACAGTGTAACTAATGTATTCTCACCATATGCCCTCACCTGAGAGACAAACTGCAGGTACAAATCTTTGCCTTTGTTAGTTTCCCAATTCGAACTCATACAAAAGCTTCTTCCTTGGAGCCGTATCACCTACCCTAGGAATAATTCTCCCCAAAGTCAGTACCAAAATGTAGTGAGCTAAAGAGTGGATTTCTATGCAAGAAATTAAATACATACATAGCCTTAGAACACATGCACAAAGGGTCAAAATTAGCAAGATGCATTTTCTTACTCTCCTTGCAAGATCCTGCACTGAAGGAAACCACAAAACCTGCTAACCAGAACTTCCGCAGGTTCCTGGTGTAATCATTCAGATCAACACACACAGGCAATGGACAAGGAACTTTCACTGCTCTAGGAAGACAAATACAAAACCTGAAGAATGGATTAGGGGTAAGAAATTCTTTTGCTTAGTTTTTGTTCAGACTCTTCTTGAGTCTGACTTAAAAAAAATTAAGATCTCCTCAAACTCCAAGGTGAAGGGAGTCACCTCTCCTCTCCTTTGCCTTGTTCATTCTCTCTCTGTTTCAATAATTGTGAGGTGAAATACATTTTCCAGGGAACTGTATGGATCACGTATTGAGCGACCACATCCATTTCTCTTCCGACATTCTACTCTTCCTCATATTTTTTCCTATAGCTTAACACGCAACTAAACAAGAAGAACCAGTTTGCAATGGTTTTAAATTTGCTGCTAATTTAAGGTTTAATTTGACAAAAATTGCCATCCACAGAATTAAATGCAGTATTTACAAAAAAAAGGAAAATAACTATTAAAATAATTTCAATAGCTAGCAGTCAGAAGAGTAAATCAGTAAAGTAAGAATAATATGCTCACACAGCTAGTTAGGGATACAGGCACAAATGCAACACCTGTATTTACACTGTATGTTCACAATGTAATTATGTTACAGTGGGAGAACAAGATGGCTAAATGGATATCTACTGGGCCAACTCTTATCCTCAGCTACAGGAATGTAATGTGAAATATAACCTTAATAAAACTCGAATGTAAATCCAATCAGTACCTGACATGCTGCACATATACCTTTAAATAATATTGTATTTTTAAAGCTTCCCACAGCTTACTTCTCCCAATAACTTTTTCCAGACTTTCTTGCATCGCTGTACTCCTTTAATTAAAAAAAAGGAAAAAAAAAAGAAAAAATTGAGCTTGAGATATTTTAAATTTTATTTCTCCAGTCTTTCTGCCCCAACCTCAACAATGTTCAAGAGAATGTATGTTGGCACACAGAACCAAGTAATTCTTTAAACAAAGAGCTCTCTAACAGTTCTTCATCTCAAAACGCAGCACTCTCTGTCTACTGTAAAGCTATAGGGGCTCAGTGGCACTTCCCCCAGGGTCACCGTCATCTATCTACTCAGCAGCCAAAGAGTCAGGTAAGGTGCTCCTGACATTTTTGAGAGTTGACTGAGAGCCCATGAAAAAGTAAAAAGGGTGAATGGTAATATAACATGCATATTACTTCTTACTATTTTCATGTTGTTTGAGGTCCATTTTCTCAATTACAAAAGTATAAAATTAAAAGGAAAAAGTTAAGAGACAATAGAGTAAGTGATGAAAATCTATCTTATGATTGTGGCATTTTGTTCCTTTTTTTTTATTAAGGTAAATGCATTTTCTATTTTTGCCTTAATTTTAAAAGACTCCCAGCAGCATACAGAACACATTTCCCTTAAGAAATTGTTTGTTTATTTTTAATTCAAAATGGAGCAGCCACAAGTGAAGCACCAGTGGGGAAAAGAAAATCACAAGGGTTAGATTATTAATTTCTATTAACCATACTAAGTCTCATTTTAATGAAACTGCTGGAAGCTGGGGATTAAAGGAAGGAGAAATGAGTGTAAAGACAGATGGAATATTGGGAAAGAAGAGACAGAAAGACAAATAAAAGCTGAAATGAGGAAAGAGTGGTATTTGTGCGGGATTTGCTTAGTCTAAATTATTTTGATTTTACTAAATACAATGTGTTCTTGAGACAAAAGCAATGAAATGGGCAAAATTACTTCATTCCCACTTCTGATGACACCACAAAACCTGCAGAGGTGACACACGGATTAACATGCAAACACATAAAAGGGGACTCTGTTCGGGGTGAGATTTATCGGAGAGGAGAAATGCATTTAAAATTAATTGTTCCAGTCAGCTGGATACAAACGCTGAGAAGGTTTTGCCTTGTTTCCTAACTTCCCCAACAAGATCAAACCAAACTTAACATGCTAAAGTGATTTTAAACACAGCATTACCAGGCACAGCCTATTTCGGAATACAAAGAGCAGTAGCAGGTGCTAAGGTATCAGCCACCGGTCCCAGCTCGGGATGTCTGCTTGCCAGCCCTCCGACTCACTCCACTCTTTCCCCGGGCAGGCTATCCAAAGAGTAAGCTGCGGGAAACTGAATTTCCATAGGGCACGTCAGGTGAAAAACGGACTTCTTAAATAAAATACAGTGCTTTAATGGATCTGCTTCGTATAATTTTATATGGGTATCTCTTTATAGCCACCTAGTAATTAATCTAATAAAAATCCTAGCACAGACGGAAAGTAAAACTGCGCAGAAAGGACTGCCAGCGCTCACTGTTAGCTGCCTGTTCCTAGGAGATGAAGCATTAGAAGGAGAAGTTACACGGCAAGAAAGAAACAAACTAAAACGCCGACACACCCCCACGTGCTGTTCCGCGGACTCCGCCGCACCTGCCGGCGCGGAGGTGCGCCCTGCCCTGCCCTGCCCGCGGCCGCCCGCTCCGCACACTCGGCACATGCGGTGCCCCGCGGCGGCGGGAGGCGGCGGCTCTGCCGCAGGGAAGGCAGCGGGACTGCGGGGTCGCTGCCCCATCCCACCCGCAGCGGGACGCATCGCCAGTCCCAGCCCGCCCCCGGCCCGCCTGGTCGCGGCACGGCACACTCACTGGTTGTGGTAGCCGAGCGGGTCGGAGATGCACAGCTCGGAAATGTCCATCAGTCCAGTTTGAGCATTCCCAGTTGGAGGAGAAAAAAAAAAAAAGAAAGAAAAAAAAAGAGAAAGAAAAAACACAAGAGAACAACTAAACTGCAGCGGGCTGGGAGAGCGGGGAGCGCCGGGAAGAGAAGCCGGCCCGAGCCCGGCGGCGGGGCAGAGGCGGCGGGGCGGGAGGCAGCACCGCTCCGCTCCGTTCCCGCACCCGCGTGCGGACACACTGACGGCGGCAGGAGGCGGGCGGCGCGCAGGACACGGCCACGGGGGATTTCGCCGCCCCGAGCCCCGCTGTAGCATTAACGCCGGGAGACGGATGGAGACGGCAGGGCGGCTATTGGCTCCCGCGCAGGGGCTGGGCTTGGAGGGCGGCTGGGGGAGGCACGGCCGGGGGGGCCGCCGGACCCGGCACCGCAGCGCGACCGGCGGTGCCCGCGCAGCCCCTGCCCGGCAGGAGGGCGAGCCGGGGCCGGAGGAGTTGGGGCACGGTGGGATGCAGTGCGGGCCGCCAGCAGGGCTGGCCCCGGCACGACAGCGAGGGCGGCGGGGCCGCCGGCAGCGCCCGTGACACGGAATCGCAGCTCCAGCTCGGTCCCGCCGCGGGAACGGTCGCAGCGGCAGCGCACGCGCCCCTTCCCTCTTACCCACTGATCTGCCTCTCGTGGACACCGGCTGTAGAGTTTAGGGTTGTGAAAAAACTTGAGGTGAAGGGTGCCCCTTGCACTATTTACACGGGCATGCCGGCGGGCGGCTGTGCGGCCAGACTGCAACCCACATGCACAGTCCAGGACACCAGCGTGGCACTGGAACGTGCATGTCCCATGCAAACACACAACCCCACAAACATACACTTTGTGCACATGCACAGACCCGCGTCTCACAGCGGCACAGCCTAATCACTGCACTCGAACATCTGCTTTCCCATATACGCACAAACGCGTGCAGAAGAGTGCCTGAATCCCATCTCAAAGCAGTGTAATTCAGATGTCACTTCAATGCAGTTGATGAAACTACACTGGAATAAATCCTGGCACATGAGATCAGAATCAGACATTCAGGATAACAGCACATATTCCCAGGCACAAAAACCATAGCTACAGACCCTCTGCAATCTTCACAAACATCAAAACTGGCACACACAACTAATTTAATGAAAGACATTTTCAAAGCTCTGCATATGTACCGGCTGCTGGTAGAGTCTGTGTGCTTTCACAGTTCCCGCATGCATCTTCACACTCATACAATTCCACTGCATATTTACAGCAACATACCAACACCTATCTGAAGGTCCCTCTCCATACAAACACGCAAACCTCTCGGGCATATGCCTACCACACGCAGTCTTGCACTAAACCCCTGACTCACACAGAGCTGCACTAAAGGGTCTGTTTGTCCCTTGCTCTACACTTTCCAAACTGCGCTCACAAACCCAACTTGTCTCTCTCCTACGCTTCTACTTCATGTTCAGTGCTTAAATGTTCAATGCTCAAATACATAAAAATATACTTAACAGATAAACAAAAACTAGAGGCCGTTTTAAAATAAAAATACGCACAAACATACCTGGATAAAAGCTTTGTTCTCTTATGCCAGGCAAACAAAAATAAAAATGTAGAAACTAAGAGAGTATTTCTTAATATAAAACCTAGAATCTAATTTGAGGCAAGAGTGTGCAACACCAGGAGAAGCAAAGGGCAGACTAGAGCTTTTTGAATGATGGAGGTGATACAACATAGCAGCGTGGCTCAGCTATAAACACAGACTGAATTAGGCTACAACTTTTCACACAACCATTATTTGTAGAAACTTGAGAATATTCAGAAAAGAGGAATAGCAAAAGTCACAGCCAGTGTAAACTGTCATTGCTTTATTGAAGTCTATCAATCAACTTCCTCACTACTTCCTCTACCAGAGATCTTAACAAGGGTCATATAAACTAATTGTGTGCCCTAGCATGTCCTCAGACTGTGTGAGGACATGATTCTGATCAACTATCCTTGAGACAGGACAGCCTAAGGATGTCAAGACAGAGGTCTTTTATGGTGAAAGGTACACATGAAGACAGCACAGAAAACAGGTTAGTTTAGAAAATCAAGACAGAGAGAAGACTCATTCAATTTTAAGAGTACAGCAGAATCTGGTTACCTGAATGTCGCAGGTGACACAATTCAGATTGTACATCTTCCCATGAAACAAAATTAATACAAACAAAAGATATATACATATACCTTTGTACAATTAAGTGATATATCATCAAAGCAGAAACTCTAAGATGCTTAAATGATGAAGAGACGAGACGAGCTTTAGCATGGCATTAGCATTAGTTGGGCCCAGGACTGTAAGCAAGGAATCTCACAAACCCCATCGGAGAACACCTGACCCAAGCACAGGCAAGAAGAATGAAACCAGCACCATTGTGTTTCCAACAGAAATCTGAGATCAGAGAGGAACTCACTGATGACTTGGTTGCCCTATAAAGAAGATTCCTGAGGCACACTAGCAAGAGAGGCTGGAGGAGACACACAGGGTCAGGGCCTGGGTATACTACAGCTCAAGAGCAAGAGAGGGTGTTTACAGTGAGCTGATTTTGACAGAAAACAATTTTCTCCAAAAAGATGCACTCTGGCTGGATCCTGACTGTGCAGAAATTAGCTCCAGTGTAGGCTCTCAGTGAATGGGACACCAGGGTGGGAATGTCTTGGCAGGCAGGTCCTGCTCTCCCAATAGCTGATGTTTTAATTTTGCACTTTAACTTTTATCCAGGCTGAGGTGAGGCAAGCAGGGAGCCATGTGATTGCCTGGCACAAGGTCCACAGGTCTGAATTAACTGATATAAACAGTACAATAGTGGGTTTGTACTCTGGAAATGGGCTGTTGCTGACAGAGGACTGCCTGGGTGACGTGGGCATTTACGGAGTGGTGCAGAAATGTAATATTAATCTCTTCTGACCCATTGCAAATGGATGAATGGAGCTTCCCCTGCCTTGAGAGTAAGCTGTGCAGAGATCTGGTTCTTCTTTTCTGATAAGGATAGAAAGAATAGTCTCTGCTGGCTGGGCTTGATCTGCCAACCTTAATTCCCCAAAATAGAGAACAAGAGTCCTGAAGGCTGATTTTGGAACTTCAGGAGGCTTCATTCTTTGCAAACCTTTCTACGCACTGCACTTGCTGAGATCTCACAGCTTTAGCCAATTTCTTTTCCCCCAAAGAATAAAGGAAACACTGATCTAAACATGGCTATCCTTCCGATATGTGTGTTTTTAAAACAGTACTAGGGCAAGGTTAGAAAGCACTGTCAGAATAAGCTGGTAGATCTGGAAGCAAAAAAACTCTAGGTAAACCGAAGGCAGAATTGCACATGCAACAGCAGCGCTAGCTTGCCTTGTAAGCATAGCTTTTGTTTGCTGCCCTGACCAAATCCTCCCCTGAAACTGCTGCTCTCTCACTTGCAGAAGGGGCAGAGCCTGCAGGCTCTGAACAGAGCCTACCCACAGGTGCTCTAGTAAGTGCTACCCATTGGGATGACTTTCATAAGGCAGCCTCTGGCTTTGAGGTCACCAGCTGTCCTCACACCTTGTCCTGGTACAGAGCAATGATGTTCCATCAATGTTAGCCTTGGACAGATGGCAATCGGAGTGCTACAGGCTGATGGAGTGATAGGCAGTATCAGTTCTTTGAGACATGCAACCCCTTTGAAAGAAAGAAAGAAAGAGAGAGGGAGAAGAAAGAAAGAGAGAGGGAGAAGAAAGAAAGAGAGAGGGAGAAGAAAGAAAGAGAGAGGGAGAAGAAAGAGAGAGAAAGAAGAAAGAAAGAGAGAGAAAGAAGAAAGAAAGAGAGAGAAAGAAAGAAGAAAGGATTGTGAGACGTCTCTTGTTTTGCTGGCTCTTCTAAGAGATAATAAATAGAGACTCTCTTTGAAGACTTTCCCCTGGCCTTTAATGACTAATCTACTTTTGATAAATTAATTTTTTACTTTAAAAAAAATTTATCATTTTAACAACTTTTCATCAAGTTGACTGATTGATTGGCTGAAATTTCATTTGGTCTAATATAGGAGTAACTTGCAAATCATGCCAAACAAACTTGATTTCAGTTGTTGATAAGGCTATTTTTCATGAATAAGGAAAATGCAGAAGAGGGAGAGATCTAGTTACTTTTAGGGGTTTGGGATTTTTTTTCCCCTTTTATGAAGGCCCTATTATTGTATTCTCACAAGGAAGTCAGTGAAATGATATTAGCACAGGGTAAAAATAATAATAATAATAATAATTAGGAGACCTAAACTGGGCAGAACAGTAATAATAATAATTAGGAGACCTAAACTGGGCAGAACAGTCTTGGGTATACATATTTTTATCTTGTCTGCTGGAGAAAGAGGAGTTCTATGACAAGAAACCTTTATCAGCCCCTGCGTCATTTAAGGAAACAGTTACAGAGGGGTCATTGGGGTGAACTCAGAAGACAACCCTTTCACACTTTTGAGACTAATAGAACTGATTAAACTTCACACAAGTCTTGCATGCCCTGATCCATTTGCTTTGCAAGGCTAGTAGCCCTGGAGAGAAAGCTAATAGCCCTGGAGAGAAACTTAGGTACCCTGAGCACAGCTGGTAGACTTTCGCTGCATATATTCTCTGCCCTAATAAACAGCTATCCCAGATACAGACTCAATCCATGAGGACAGACCAGCCTTCTTTATTTTGGGCTCTATTCTATTTTCCCTTACTACCCCCAAACAAAACAGCTTGTTCTCCCCACCAAAAGTAATGTCTTGTTTTCTACCAAACTCCAGTAGGTTTTTTTGCCCCCCAAAAATGAATTTGCCTTAAGAACAATATGCTTCCATCAAAAAAGTATCACTACCAGCACTGCTGAAGCTCAACATCTATTTAAGCAGAAAGTAGTTTTCACATTGTGTTTTTTAAACAACAATGAACACCCACCTGAACATCCTTAAACATGCTTCAAGCATTACCTCGTCTTTAAAACCATGAGCTTTCCTTAAATTCTTTGTTAGGAACTCTGAGATAAAACAAACATAGTCCCTACATTGCCAATGAAAGATCAAGGCTTTCTTTTAATAAGCCTTTTTTTTTTTTTTGTAGGGCCAATGCAGTTTTCTGTCCTTTTATACCCTTTTTTGTCTTTGCAGTGT